GGGCCCATGTCATGCCACGGGCGAACTGGTTCGCGAGCCAAGTCTTAGGCCAAGTCGGGCCACGAACCGGGCTAAGCCTGTTCATGGTATCGGTAGCCTAGTAGTTCAGCCCAACCCAATAACAACACTAAATTAATTAATTAAATAATTTGAGATAGCCTTTACCAATCTTGTGTTGATAATACATAATGTTTTATTAATTTATTTATTTGCTTATTTTACTAAATTATTTAATTAGTTAATAATTTAATAGTCTAACAAATTATTATTGCTAGCAAAGTAAGACATAGAATTGTGTATATATTTATAAATATTTACTCTCTCACTTGATTGTCTATTTATCTCGTTTATTTTATAAATTTATTTATTTATTAAATTAAATTAATTATTATTTAACTATTTATAATTACTCCACTATATAAAACAAAAATACAATGACAAAAGTCATCTCTCCCTCTTTCACTCTATTGCCTGATGGCCATGATTATTTATTTATTTATTGTTTTATTTATTAAAGTAAATATATTATCCATAAAATTTTATTTATTTTAAATAGATCTTTTTTTCCAATAAACTTTTAACTAAAAGAAAATTATCTTTCACAATTTTTTTTCCTATATAATAATCTATCTTTGACAAGCCACTTACCATCAATACGATACACTTGATATGTCCCAATATGTGATGAAATTTTGAAAGATCTTGTGGAACCCATCTTCATATCACTATTTTAACCCAATATCTTAACTGTGCATTGGGAACATCTCTATAGAGCACACCTCATAGAACCCACCCCACATCATCTCTTAACCAAATTCAGATTTCATCCTCATAGCCCTTAAAGATATGTATTTGGAATATCAATTAAAACATTTAAGTATTGAGATCTTATTAATGCATGATGGCAAAAGACTGAAACGACGGTTTTGTGAGGATGAAATCCAAATTCATCTTAACCATGCATTAGGGACATGTACTGTGAGTTTACATTTGCACCCCATAGGCGCTTCACAATACATCTGAACCATGATGTTCCCAATGCACGCTGAGATATGTACGTGGGGCATGCCATGTGGGGTGCTGATGTGATCTCGTTCCAATACATACTAGGATGTGCATGTGGGGCGCATTGTATGGGAATTCACAGTTGCACCCCACAGAGCGCACCCACAACCACGGATAGTGGGGCACAGATGTGATTTTGCTAAGTTTACATCAACACCCCACAAGGGGGCGCCCCATGATATCTCACAGCACATAACAGCCTCATTGTATATATTGGGAATATCTCCCAATGACAAGTATGGAAGATGATGAGACGTCCACGGGAGATGTTCCCAATACAAGGTCAGGATGTGTTGTGGGGCACAGATGTGGACTCGGTTTTTTTCTATTGGGAATTGATAATCGATCTAAAAGCCTTCTAACAAGCTAACCCCATTTAATAGAGGAGTTGACATGTACACCCCACAATGTCCCACAACACATCTCTGCCGTGTATTGGGAACATCTCCCAATGATAGTACTGAACCGATGATATCATCATCGGGAGATGTGTTGTGGGATGTTGTGGGGAGCCCTTTTGTGGGGCACAAATCTGAACTCATATCACATCAGCACCCCACTAACGTGTTGATGTTCCCAGTAGGGGTGGCCACAAGCTGAGCTCTTCACGAGCTACTTGAGCTCGGCTTGGCTCGGTTTCAATTGAGCTTTGAGCCGAGCTCGAACCCAATTTATAAGCTCGATTAATAAGCGAGTCAAGCTTGAGCCTAATAGAGCTCGGCTCACGAGTCTCGCGAGTCGAGCTCGAATATATATATATATAATAAAAATATTATAATTCTTAATTTTTTAAATATCAAATAAAAATATTTTATATATATAATTTTTTATTTTTATAAAACATTTTTTCTCAAATCGAGCTCGAGCCGAGCCGAGCCGAGCTCGAACCTCATACTATTCGGCTCGGCTTGACTCGAATCCACCCCTGGTTCCCGGTATTAATTTCAGATGTGTAGTGAGGCGCAGTTGTAAATTCCATTTAATATCAATATTATTGCTTCCCACATGCACATCTCAGCGTGCACTAGAAAACATCTTCCGTACATGTTAATGGGAGATGTTCCGAATACACGGTTCAGATGTGGTGAGCTATCCATCTTGTTTAGAGTTTGGAACAAGTCCCAACAGCCATGTTGTACATTAAGAACATCTCCCTAGAGGGAAAACGAGATGTTCCCAATGCAGGTCTCCAAAGGCTATTGCTATTGGGACCCTCGTTGGGACTAGATCCGATGTCTCTTGTCCAACAGAGATGAAGGGATGGGATATCCATCGTATGGACGCCCGAAACTTGCAGAATAGAATGGGCGAATTTCAAAAAAAATTCTCTCCGTCCTACTGGGAATCATATTCCCTACTTTAGAAAAATCATATTTTTCAATGATCAATCTTGAACCATGAACCAAACCAGATCTGAACAAAAGCAACAGGAGAGGGATATACCTAATACGGAGAAATAGTATCTCCCAATGGAGGTGTTCACGCCCAAGGAAGGAAGCAAAGACTACTCCCACTGAAGATGGCGCAGTGTAGGATGGAGCAGAATCAACAGCGTTCTTCAAAAGAACCAGATCCTTCGCAAGAATCAACTGGACGGCAAGTGAGCACTTCTTCCGATCAGCCCTTTTCACAAAGGACTGATATCAAGATCCAATCTTGATCACTCCTACTGACAAGAGGAGATCGAACTGGCAGATATGGCGGTGGCAGGAAGGAGGCGGCAAGAGAGATTTAGTGCAGTGATGCTGAATTCTCTCTTCTGTAATTTCAGCTCTGAAGAGGATGTAAATATGAATATCTTCTAAAAGCTGCCACCCCCTCCTCCTTTTATAAGCTTAAAGGGATCAGCTCCTAATCCCCTTAGGAGTTGTTGATCCAAATCATATTTGGATCAGAATTCCCTTTAAGTGATAAGGGTAAATCCTTATCTTATCTGTAGATTAGATCAGTCCTCTCTTAATCCCATTAGGAGGTTTCCAGATCTGAATTTGTATTCAGATTTGGACTCTCTGAGTGGATAGGGTAAGACCCTATCCTATCTGCCAATCTAATCTCAGATTCGCCCCTTCCTTAACTGATCAAATCAGCCCAGTTCGAAATGGGCTTTAGGCCCAATATGGTTATGTGCTCACTTAGCCTTCCAAACTGCTACCCAGTTGGGCTTCCTTGTATGGCGTGGGACCCAAACATTGATCTACACATCAGCCACAAGGGTTCAGCCCAGCTTTTGTTACAAGGCCTGGCCGAATACACTGTTATGGACAATGCACCCCCTGAAACCCATCACATGGGCTCTATGGGCCCAACACTTACCCTAAGTGG